TATTATATTTCATGCTTTTACAGAAGTAGTCTCAGAAATTTTCAAATATAGATTGAAGTGAATAAGGGAGGGGCTCCAGAGCTGGCCGCAGAGCTGAGCACCAGCTGTGGGAGGGGGCCGTGGCCGCAGAGGTTGGAGCCCTCAGAGCTGCTGCCCTTCTCACTGTCCCCTCTCAGAGACAGGCCCTGTCCTGTGCTGCCAGCAGCTCCTCTTCCAGCTGCCCTGCCCTGCGCACAGGCTGGCGGCCCTGCCAGTCCCCCCTGCTGCCGCAGCTTTGCATAACCTGTGCAAAATGAGTTAACAATGGAATTCTAAGGTCTAGTACCCTTTAGTTCCCCAATGAGACACAAAATGAAAATAAATTTCATTCATAATCTGCAAGGTAAGTACAAAAAATGTTTAAATAAAACTTTTAAAAAACCCTTCAGTATGAATATGGTGATGAGAACCATTATTTGAAAGAAACTTAGCAGGACTTGGTATTTTATTCTGTGTAATTATGACACTAGGCTTCATCTTTGCTGATGAACAAAAAGCTCTTTTACTTTTGGACTTCACAAGACTTAAATGGTTCCCATTTTTCTTCTTCATTGTTGTCTTGTCATCTTGATACGAGTGGCTTTCCAAAGCCAGAAAATATTTCCTCATGATGATTTTGGTCAGAGAATTTGAGCAAAGATAAATGTTTTGTGCAATGGACATTAGCCAGAAGGAGTTGCCTGATTAAAACTGCTATATTTGCCCATCTCCCATTAAATGTCAAAACAGCAGTGAGCTATGCAACACTATAGTCCACATGAGAAAAGAATAGCAGCCATGGAAGCTATTTTATTTAAAGCTTTTTTTTTGGGGGGGGGTGGTATTTCTTTTTAAATTGATACTTTCTGCAATTCTTTAATTTTTTGTTGTTAGAGTGTCTTTGAAAAATAATTCAGTACCTATTAAGTACTTTACAGTACTTTAAAAAAATATCAAAGGAACTTAATCTTTCTGTAAGGAAAAGGATTCATAAACCTTATTGAATGCCATTAATGTTTGTCGGTGGATGATAAAAATCATGCTTTGCATTTAAATGGATAAAATTTTATTTAAAATTACAAACATTTTAATATAAATGATGGTAATAAAATATATGACTTAGTGGCTGAACAGAGGAGATGGTTCCCTACTATATCTTTAATTCAACACCTCTTGAAACAACCATAGTGATGTTTGTCTGTTAATTCTTAATCATTTCACATTTCATCTTCTAATATCTACTTGACTGCAGGCTGGGCTTAACTGAGTCAAGCCTTAATCTGTGTGACATGTGCGATTCATAGGACAGTTGTAGATGATAGTAAATATTTATATTCCCACTGTTGTCATCTCTACCTCAAATCTGTAGACTTAAGACTGGAGGTTTCAAAAATCACCTTCCAGTTCCTATTGACAGTACGTAGCAGCAGATGCTGGAACGAGGCAGCATCGCTCTTTTGCGCAGCTGATAGTGGCACTCACTGATGCCACTTGTTGCCCAGGCAGATGGCAGGGAAACATCTTCTGAGGCTGGCCAAGCAAGGCAGTCTGCTAATTGTGCTCACTTGACGTAAGTTTCTAGGTTACAAGCTCTTCCTTCCTTTCAAAACCATTTGAAACTGACTCCGAAACGACATCCAAGCCAATTATTGGTCTGTGTGCATCACTCCAAAATGAGCCACTGGTGGATTAATGTCAGCGATTTCTTTTTTTCTGGCTTTATGTTCATGCTTTCTAATATATCAGAAAATATATGTCCTGTTTATCCTTTTGCTCTGTCATCCTTTTTGCTGTGTTCTGAGAATTCCTTTCTGCTCTGAGAATTTGAATTTTGATTGGCTTGAAGTAAAAAGCCAATGGGTTAATGGGTTATAATGAGCGTTGTCACTCGTGTTGAAAAATGTCTGACATTTCTATTGAATATCTACTTTTTTGAAAGAAAGATCACTGTAAAGCAGTGCTCTGCTCAGAGGTTTAGAAAGTACAGAGCAGAGTGCCTTGGCAGTGCTGGCTGGGCAGCTGGATGGCTTCTGCCTTGCTGCTTTGCTTGCCCCTTCTTATGGAGATGGTTGCAATTCTCCTGTCCCCTCACGGATGGCAAACTGATTGTGTCTTTAAAAACAAGGCAGGCTTGAGCATCTCTTATCTGTGTTTCAGGGTAACCAAATAAAATCTTATAATCTTTTGCAGCTCCTGCCTGCTCTGTTCTTGAAAGTAACATTCTCATAAATATGAGCAAATTCTGATTATTTCCTAGCAGTAACATATAAGAAAGGACTGCAGAATTATTCATGGAACTGTAGCTCTTCCCTTTAATGAGCTCTTGGGTGACACGGAAGTGGAACCAAGAGATAGGATGTCTTTCATGAAAAAAAATAGTTGCATGTAATCTGAGGCTCCTGCATGTTTATATGCTTATTTACTTACACAGCTGAGCATATGATTTGCTTGACTAGGAACTACAGCTTTAATAAATGAATGTATGATCTATAATGCATTTCAACTCTTGCCCTTCATTCCAGTTGCATAGTGCTGAGTTGATTGTGCTGGGGTTTTCTTGCAATTACAGAATCCTAGTATTATCCTGAAGTTTTGTTTCAGGATAAAGCAGAGGAAGTAGTTCTGATTTTTACTCAGCGTTACTCATATACTATCATTCCATGATAATGATGATATGAATTTCTGAGTCTGAAACACTAAACATTCCACCTCTTTAGTTTTTCTAACACTAATTGCTCATGTTTTAAAATATAAAGTAGCAGTCTTCCTCTTGTGCTGTGAGGATCTAGCTGTAGATCTCTGCAGCTGTAACCTTACTGAGAGAATAATAATCATAGAATTATAGAATGCTTAAGGTTGGAAGGGACCTCTAGAGATCATCTAGTCCAACCCCCCTGCACACGCAGGGTCGCCTAGAGCACGTGGCACAGGACTGCGTCCAAGCGGGTTTTAAATACCTCCAGAGAAGGAGACTCCACAACCTCTCTGGGCAGCCAGTTCCAGGGCTCTGTCACTCTCACTGTCAAGAAATTTTTCTTTAAGTTCCTGTGGAACTTTTGATGCTTCAGTTTCCAGCCGTTTCCTCTAGTTCTGTCAGTGGCCACCACTGAAAGGAGGCCAGCACCATCCTCCTCACTGCCTCCCTTGAGGTACTTATAGACACTGATTAGATCCCCTCTCAGCCTTCTCTTCTCCAGGCTGAACAGGTTCAGTGCTCTCAGTCTTTCCTCATAAGGCAGATGTTCCAGGCCTCTGATCATCCCTGTGGCTGGACTCTCTCCAGTAGATCCACATCCCTCTTGTACTGTGGAGCCCAGAACTGGACACAATACTCCAGATGTGGCCTCACCAGGGCTGAGTAGAGGGGCAGGATCACCTCGACCTGCTGGAGACGCGCTTCTTAACCCACCTCAGGATCCCATTGGCCTTCTTGGCCACAAGAGCACAGTGCTGCCTCATGGTCAACTTGTCATCCACCATGACACCCAGGTCTTTCTCCGCAGAGCTGCTCTCCAGAAGGTCGGTCCCCAGCCTGTACTGGTGTCTGGGGTTATTCCTCCCCAGGTGCAGGACCTTGCACTTGGCCTTGTTGAATTGCATGAGGTTTTTCACCGCCCAGTTGTCCAGTCTGTCCAGGTCCCTCTGGAGGGCAGC